ATCCATGCGACCCTGGATGACTGGGGGAGTGGAGGAAGGGCGGAGGGGAGGAGGGAGAGAGGGGGGAAACGGGTGGGGAAGGAGGGGAAAAGAGACTTCAGAGTATGACCAGGTCCATGCGGCCCTGGATGACGGGCGTCGGGCGGAGGGAGCGGGGGAAGGGGGTGGTGGAAGGAGGGTGAGGGGCGGGGAAAGGGGAAGGGGGGGGAGAGGACGGGGGAAGAGGATGAGAATGGGGAGAAGGAGTGGGGGGAATGGGGCCGCTTCAACGAGAGGGGTCCAAAGCGGCGGGGAGGGTGAGGAGTAGGTTAGGAGTTGCTGGGGTTCAATGAGCTGGGAAGCGGGGAAGCTGGGAAGCGGGGAAGCGGGGAAGCGGGGAAGCGGGGAAGCTGGGAAGCGGGGAAGCGGGGAAGCGGGGAAGCTGGGAAGCGGGGAAGCGGGGAAGCGGGGAAGCTGGGAAGCGGGGAAGCGGGGAAGCTGGGAAGCGGGGAAGCGGGGAAGCGGGGTAGCGGGGAAGCGGGAAAACGGGGAAGCGGGAAAGGTCCACAGGTACAAGGAGGAAAAATCGGACGAGGCGGGAGCAGGAACGATCTTGTATCCCTCTAGAGAAATTCTCAAAGGGGAGGGAAGCGCTGGCGCGCATGGACCTTGAGTCAACGAGGATGCGGATAAAAAACAGCAGCGGAAGGTGTGCTTTGCGCGCTGTGGCAAACTCACTGCAGTTCTTGTAGTACTGGAGACCGCTGTGCGCGTACAAGGTGTCCTGGCGGGAGACAGCGGGGGAGGCAGCGGGGGAGACGGCGGGGGAGACAGAGGCAAAGAGGGAAGGAGGGGCAAAGGAGAGAGAAGGCTCAGCTAGCAGCACCTGGTATCCGAGGAACGCGATTTTTGAGGCGCCTAGAAAATTCCGAGGAATGCGCACTTGTACAACTGGATACGTCTTAGTCGTATGGGAAGGAGTTGATAGCGCACTTGTACAACTTGAGCGGGGCGAGCGGTACCTGATAGCCGAGGAAGGTGCACTCGTAAAACTGGATGCGCGTGCCTTTGACCATCAGCGCCACCGCTTGGTCCTCCTTTCTGCTCATGCTCGCACACACGCATCGCCATCATTACCATGCATCATCGCCATAACAATGTGTCATCGCCATTATGCATCACATGGAGGATAATTTCATGCAATGCCGAGCAAATCCTATCAATGGCACATTAGAAGAAGACATGCCAAGTCAAGCTTCCGACCGACTCCGCAACACACCGTTTAGCACACACAGACGGTCCCTATTCCGGCATCCGGATCCCCGTACAACAACAAACAAAGAGAGAGAGCGAGCGACGAATGAAAAAAAACAATCAACAAAGAGAAGCTTCCTTGTGAAACCACACAGCATCTGCTCCAGCTCACCCGCCCTTGTGCCCTGGGCCATGGCTGGTTTTTATGATGATGTGCTGCACCAGAACGCCTATGACCCACCTAGCGTGAACATTTGAGGCGCACTTACCCGCCCTTCTTCCCGGGGCCATGGCTGTTCTCGAAGGTGATGTGCTGCACTAGGAAATCCGTGGCCCACAGCTTGAACGTGCTGCTCTCCTCCGTGTTCATCGCGACCTCCGCGCCGTCCTCGCCCGCGTAATGCGCCGCCGTGATCGTCACGCCGCCGCCGCCCTTCTCGCCCACCAGCGCCACGTGGTGCAGCGTCTTGGGCGTCTGCGCAGCACGCGCGGTAGCACGGTAGGGCACGACGGCGGACGGGCAGGTAGAGGGGGGGAGGGAAAGGGGGGGCATGGTGAGGCAGAGCGGATTTTCGAAGTGGGAGAAGGACGTGTGTGCGTGATTAACAGGCCAAATCTTGTGTGCATATCTGAACAGTGCGGAAAAACGGCACTCACGAATTATTTGGAACGATTTATTATATACCTCCATCCCTCCCACATTTTTCCAAGCAATGCGAACTAAGAGTAACGGGGTGCGAACTCAAGTAGACTTGGAAGGATTGTGAAAGTCTTAAATGCTTGAAAGCCTTACAGTAGGGGTTTCGTTGTACACTCCTGCTTTTATGTAGATAATGGTGAATCGGCCACGCCGTCCAGAAGATGCGTTATCGAGCGCTTCCTGCAACGAGTACAACGCGGAAGGAGACAGAGCAGACGGACCCACATTATACACGTGCGACGGCTGGGAAGTCGCTTACAGCAGCGTCATACGGAGACACGAACGCGATTCTTTTGATAGGTCCGACTATTGGACAGGTCCTCTCTTTTGGCTACAAAAAGAGGCGCTCCGTCGGAAACCAGCGACCACACAAACATTCACAAAAGGATGATTCATAATCTTAGAAAAAGAAAACGCTTGGAGAAAAAGACAAAAAAGAGGGAGCCGGACAGCAAGGTGCAAGGTAACGCACCTGCACGGTCTTATAGTCACCAGTGCCGTCTAGCGCCACGACAATGTCGGGCTTGCGGGACTTTTGCGGCGATCCGCTCGCCTGAATTGCCGCGAATCTATCCCCAGTATAAACGGCCTCGACAGATGCGATCAGCAGGAGGAAAAATGCCAAGAACCCGAAAAGTTGGCCTCGGGCTGGTATGGCGAACGAGGAGAATGGTTGATAACGGAAGTCGTCTCTGTTGCTTCTTACTCGCCGAGTCGCCATGGATTTCCGCTCTCTTTTTGTCATCCGCAACGGTTGCATCTCCAACAGGTACCGCAGCCGCTGCTGCTGCTGCTATTTCCTGCTCTGATAATCAGTCAGTTAGGCCGGAATTAGCGAAGGGGCAACGGAACACTGGATGCGGGAAGCGCATAGAACGGGGTTGAGCCTAACCAACGTCGCCACTGCTAAGGAGTTCAAACAAAACACCGAAAACCGCCGCTAGTGGGACGACATGAAGACAGAGGTGGGCTAGGCGTTCATCGTGTAAAGCAGTCGAGGACGGACTGGTGCAGATAGATATCTGTTGCACTTACAGCTTCGTTGCGCTGCTGCTGGGGGGCTGGACTGGATGTTGTGTAGCCAAGCATTCATTTGACAAACAGGGGCACAAGTGCACACTTCACTCACAAAGTTCCTCCGCGGAGGGTGTTGTTGTCGCCATCCGGAAAAGCACATTGCGTATGTGAGAATCGAGCCGCGGATTCGAGCGCGCAGCGGTTCTCGGAACGCATTCCTCGCTAGCCCTGTCCCCACCACCAACAACACGTCCGTGCAAGAGAGGACAAGGGCTGGCGTCCACGTCACCTGAGCGTCGAAGGGCTGGCTTTCTCTCCACCAATGCCTTACCTTTAACGACGAGCGCGGAATTCGCCTGTGTCAGCAGGACGTGCGACGAAAATCACAAACTGCTGGTAACATGGCTTCAGACGAACAACTTTACCACCTTCTGCGAATGTTTCTCCAAGCCCGTGGGGCCACCTTCCAACGTGGGCAAAGATCATACAACATTGGACCAGGCCTGTTGTTTCGTTTTGGGCCCCCCGGACAAATCAGGGGGCCCGGCATGTATGACCCTGTATTTAGCAGGGTTGGGGCGAATCTCGGCCCTTTAGGCTTCAGGGCTGGAAATTTTTCCTCCCTTGAATCAGGTTTGGCGCGAAAAAATCGGGAGCCTCATTTCAACTACCAAGCTTACAACTACGTTTGAGATCAACGACAAGCAAGCAAACACGACATAAAGAGAAATAGTTAGCGTCATATCACTACGCACACTTTGCAGGCTTCCTAGCCTTTGCAGAACCGATGATCGTCTGCACATCTACTACCCAACCTTCAGGGTAGTTCTTGTGCACTTCTACCCAACCTTAACCGTCACCCACTCCACAGAGAGCGAGCTGTGATTGGTTTAAGCACAAGTTCTAGGTTGAGTTGAATTTGTGGCCCAACCAAGCAACTCGAAATTGCCTTGTTGGATGCAATCAGGTTAGAAACGAAGGGGAAAGGAGAGGGAGGAGTGTTGGGGGGGGGAGGGAGTGGAAGGGGGGTCTCGAGAGATTTTGTTCCAGGGCTCGCCTAAAATCTGCCCTCTACACACCGGGCCTGAGCCCGAAATCAGCCCTGTAAAGAATCAGGGCCAGAATATTTCCAACCCACCAATTTCAGTTTTCAAGGGCAATCCAGCCCTGGAATTCAAGGTCCAGCAGGGCAAACGCCCTGCAAGCGACAGCCCTGCATTGGACCTTGTGGTGGTGTGTAATGAATAGGGTTACTCGTTAACGATAATGACGAGTAAGTGCAAATGATTTATTCTATCATAGATGCTGTTTCTAGACAAAGGATTCACATTACCTAGTTCAACAAAGGATTTGATATAGCTGTCAAGAGATGATGAATAAACTCTCAGCTCATGCTGCGAGGGTGCCTTGAGATTATTTTAACTTCAAAAATGTGAGCTACAAGCAAGATAACAATCATGTGAAACATAATGTATCCTCCTTTCACATGGTGCAACAATTTCTTTCAAGAGCACGAGCAGATACCCCATGCTCAAAACTGTAAGAAACAATTGATATCCAACAAATTATTGGAATCCATTATAATTTGCCACTAAACAGTCGACACACAATGCTCTCACGACTCTTGCACTCCAATAGCCACATCACTTATCTGTATACCTGGTCCATGCAATGCTAAACCACTTGGCTGCAGCAAAGCGTAGCATCAACTCCTGCCAACCTTTCCAACCGATTAGCGCCGCTACCATACACCACACCAGCAACGAACCCACACAATTGCTTCAATTGAGTTCCACTGCATGCCCACCGCAAGCACAGGAGGCCACCACCACGTGCCCTGGAAACACGCGCGGCGCTTCCCGCACACGCTCTTCACCCAAGGAAGCGAAGCAAACTGCAGGGACAGATGCCTGTGCAGCACACCGGGAAGCTGGAGAATAGTCTGCTGGATGTGCTGCATCTCTTGCTCCTGCTGCTGCTGCCGCTGCTGGGCCTTGCGTGGCTGCTTCTGCTGCTGGACTTGCCGGAAGCACGGGTTGTCCAAGTGGCGTTAGAGGGGCAGAGTGGGAAGATTGAAGGTGACCAGAGCGATCTGTTGGCGCACCAAGAGAGAGGAAACACGGCGAGGACGGAAGCGGACCGCTCCAGGGGTACCAGACGTGCTGCTGCTGGCTCGCACGAACCTCTAGCTTGTGCGTCTCCTGCTCACGCTGCTTCTGCTGGCGCTGGTGGTGGTGCTGGCAATACTCGCGAATTACCTCCTCTTGCATCTCCGTGACATCCTCAGCCCAGTCGTGTGGTTTCTCCCCGTCGTAATCGTCGCCGCCGTCGTCACACGCACCGTCGCAGTCACCGTCACAGTCGTCGTCACAGTCGCCGTCACAGTCGTCGTCACAGTCGCCGTCACAGTCGCCAACACAATCGCCCTCTGTGTCAAAGTCGCATGGAAGCGACAGGCGTGACACGCTCAGCGCGCACCTGCCCTTCCGTGCTTCCCCCCTGCAGCAGAACCCCCCGCAGGATTCCCCTTCCCCCTCTTCCGCTCCACCGCAAAACTCCCCTTGGCCCTCCTCTGCGCCATCCACGCTTCCGCCCCCCGTTGCGCCGCCGCAATCCTCCGCGCGTTCCGCCAGCGTTTGCGCGTCTAGCAGCTCGTTAAGAAGAAGGTCCACTGCCATATCCGCGTTCTCCGCTTCTCTGCCTACTGACTTGCGCGGTATCTGGGAGCTCCGTGTGGGGGAAGCGCACGCCTGCGCCCGCCCTCCGCCCATGGACACTACCCCTCCTGCAAGCTCAGGTACGTGCGACAGCGAACCGTCGCCTCGAAACGTGGACGACACTTCGTCATCGTCGTCGTCGTCGCCGCTCGCCTGCGATAAGCCTCGCTGCCAAAGAGGATCCGCCAACCCCGCAAAACACCCCATGCGCGCCCCCTTGTCAAACACTCCGCCCAAACATGCCCCTCCAGCACCCGCTCCCCCTGCCGCTCCTCTGCTGCTGTCAAGAGAGAGAGCGGCCGGGTGCCGCGCCCTCTGCCAATTCTGCTGCTCAAAAAGAGCCCACGCCGCGACTGGCGCCGTATCCGGCGCCGTCCAGAGCGCTAAAGGGCTGGCCAAAAGCGATGGGGAGATTGACGTGGACGTGGAAGGGCCGGCGGATTCGTGGACCTGGCCGTTTACGCCACCGTCAAACGTCTCGTTCGACTGTTTTCTGCAGGACGGCCAGCCCGTTACATGGTCGCCGTTGACCGCACCGTAAGATGCGCCGTAAACGGCACCAGACGGTAGGGGGCCGGACTTAGTGAGACGCAGCATCACCCTATCAGATTCTGCAGAATCCGCAGGAGCGACGCACGCTGCGGCGGCGGGAGCGGCGGTGGCAGTGGTGCAGACGTGGAAGAGCATAGGGCCCGACTTGCACTTCCGCTTGCGGAAAGTCAGTCGGGCGGATTCGGCTGACAGGCACGGGTGCACGGAGGGTTGAGCGGAAAGATACGCGGAAAGTTGCGCAGACTCTGCAGGGGCGGTTTTGCCTGCTTCACAAATCGTACTCTCTCTTTCCCCAAAAGTACCATCGACAGTAGTTCTCACAGCTGCGGTGGAGAATCCTCGGTGGGGAGAGTTTGCGCGGAGGTTGCAGGGAAATGGCCAAGAAAGGCCGAGGGGGCGCAGGGCCGCGGTTACACGGAGAATGGCTAAGGGATGGGAGGACGAGGTTGTGAGGAGAAGCGAGAACCCATGACGGGGCTGATTCCCCGACTGCTCCGACTGGTGTGGCTGCTGGTGCTGTTGTGGCTCGTGCTGCTGACAATAGTCATGAACACCGGTTCGTCGACGGCTTGCTTGATCGTTTATGGACCTTCCTGTCATAGCTTCTCGACGTGTCGCCTGTACACTTGAAGTCGCAGGGGTGTCTGCGTCGCAGCGACTCCCATCGATCAATGCTGACGCCATGGCTGACGTAGGCAGCTGCGCCGCCGCGAGGAAAGCCCCTGTGAGATCATTAGTCTGACTGTCGGTGCGGTGGAGAGCGATCGACTCCTCTGCGGAAACTACTCCAACGCGTATGTCCACGTGCTGCTCGAATATTGCGATCTATTGAAAGGGGAAGAGGGCGATGGAGACGGGTGGGATGAGCTATGGCGCTGTGAAGTCGGAGCAACAAGCGAGACATGTAAACGTGCGTGAATAATGAGAACCGTATCTTTCCGAGGGTTGCGACTGTATATTCAGTGAGCGGGAAACGTGAGAACCGCATCCATCGAGAACAGTGAGCTGCAATAACGGAGACATAAGTACCTGAAGAAGCTCGTTGAACACGACGCAACTGCTTTCTCCGGGATTCACGGGTTTCGTTTGTGCCACTCCTAAGCATCTGTGGCCCGCTGTTACCGTCAGCCGCACGCACAGCGACGCACCGCTAACGCGATTCGCGGCGCAAAGGGCGCTGAGATCAAGCCCCTCTAATTGGTCCACGTACACCTCCAGAAAGGCGGCGGGCCTCATGGGCATCGATTGACTGACTGACTTACGAGAAGCACGGAGATAGAGCGTGGCACTGGCAAGATACTGACCGACCGTAACGTCAGAAAGGGGTTCTATATCTCTGCTGCGCCACCTCTAGTAGCGTTCCGCTAAGAGGGGTTTTGCGCGATACTGAAGACGGTCTATGGTGATACAAGGTTAGGCAGGAAAGTAGAGCAAACGAAGATCTAGACGCTGACAGCTCGCCAGACGCTTTCAATTTTGGAGGAGGGGCCACGAAAAGACTAACTGGACTATTCCTGCGAGTACTTTCCTTCCGACACGAGTAGTTGCTCTGCGTTGCTCGCAAGTTCTGGAAGTTGAAGGGCGCATCAGTGGTGGACTATGGTCCTGCTAGTGCTGCGAATTGGCCCCAGTCGCGATCGCCGAGGGTGGGTGGAATGATTGAGGCTGAGCGGACTGCGTGCGTGCGATTGCCAAAGGAAAGAGTTGTGGAGAGCACAAGTTGTGCTGCACAGCTTTGGCGGCGACTTGGACGCTCTCCAGCCAAGGCGACGCATGAAACGCGAGAGGGAGGGCGAAAGAGACAACTGATGAAAAACAGAAGCGACGCGGAGTGTATCTGTCGAGCCGAGGCGCGAGGGCGATAGAAACGCTGACCTAAATGGTTTGGTGGGGGAGAAAGCGAATGAGGTCCAGGCAGATGGGTGTTGCATGCAGAGGCTATTGGTGATTTCGAAACTGCATGGATGGAAATTAGCTGGTTGCGGCAACTTGAGATGGGAGCCTGAAAATTATTTCGGAGCAGGCAGATCAGCACGACAGTGCGACAGCCCACGTCACGTGATGCGACTAGCGAGGGATACAAACTACTGCTCGCCGTGGGAGATGCAGGTGTAATTTTCGCGTCAAAGCGGTGTTACCGGCTTCGCATCCACTTGTTGTCTCGTTACCGCGAAGATTGACGACACTAGCTACGATAGTTTACGAATTTGCGATTATTTTTGCCTTGAGTAAACTTGTCGAATCGCAGCCACTGTGCGATGTGTAATTGGCGATTTGGACGTGCCAGGGGACCTCGTTTCCGCCACATCGAGTCGCTTGTGACTTGTAATGTTGCGCGACTCGTGAGATTGATTGATGACGGCGTCGCGAACATCACGAAGCAAAGTTGCACCATGAGTGGGGGGCGTGCACGAGCCTGTGCGATAGCAATCCGAAAGAAAAGGGCCCCAACCCAACCAATGTAGACGGCGCGCGCGCCGCAGCTCCTACCAGCTGCTTGCGACTGGGAAGGGCCACCAAGATCCCTTCAAATGCTTCAAACCCATGCCTGCGACGAAGCGCCAGCTCGCCACTTCGCCGTCCTCTCGATATGTAACAGGGCGACGCATAGCGTCCCCGTCGCCTACCATGCTGGAACAATCACCATCGCTGCGATTCGACGGACAAACAAAAGGCCAGCATGCAGGGCATCTGCAAATTGATTGATTCAACACCAGCAATGCTGAGAGGCACACAGCGTAGAGTCACACCAGAAATGTTTGACAGAACAGAAATGACAATAATACCACATCGAAAGGAAACCTACACCATATCTAAACCTATTATCTTGGTCCTAATTTGTGGTCATGTGTTACGGGTGCAATGGATCTAGGTAGTGAGGATTGCACTAAAGTGTCAAACAAGTACAAAATGTGAGCGAAGGCATGGGCGAACATTTATACGTGAAACATGCAAACGGTAACGCGGTGCGTGCGAGCTAGCTAGTGCTACGCTGGCAGCGAGGCTCGGGCTAGTCCCGAAGCGTAGGCCGACACGGCTGGGCCAGCAGTGCGAGGTTTGGCAAAACAGTGCGCGCGAAGTTAGCGAAACCCCGTTAGCAGTAACGGGCGAACAACGGCTGTTGCTGTACGCGATGTAGTCGGACTCCGTAAGGAATGCCGAGAAAATTCCTTACACTACCCCCCCCCCCTCAAGAAGCCCCCTCCGCTACGCGAGTGCGTGTATATCGCGGAATCCCCGGCTCCTCAGGTACACTTGCAGGGCAGGGTGGTTTTCGATGTTGGCCAGGGGCACCCAGCTATCTTCAGTTGGCGTGTGTTCCTTCCAGCGAACGAGGAATTCAATCCTCCTGATTCCCGTGGGGTGGCGAATCCGATGGCTCAGAATTTTTTCGGGCTCGATGATCGGCTCCGATGCAGGGCGCGTCATGGATGGCGGGCGGTGGCGAGGCAGTTGGCTTGTGGTTGGGATGTATGGGCGAAGCAAGCTGACGTGGAATGAAGGGCTGGTGTACCAGTCTGTCGACAACAGTAGGTGAGCTGTTACTGGGGTAATCATATGGCTGATTTGGAATGGTCCACAGTAGCGGGGTCGTAATTTCGGTACGATGGGCAGTCTAAAGTTTTGCGTGTCGAGCAGTATGTAATCTCCTGACTAGTACGTGACTGGGCGGCGGTGGCGGTCAGCGTTGCGCTTAGCGATGACGTTGGCTTTTTTAATTGCTTCTGCGGCTCTGGTGCGGGCAGCTTGCAGAATTTCGGCGAATTGCTGTGCACGTGGTGTTGGGTTGTCCGGACTCGGCGTCATGGGCACTGTAGGGTTTTGCCCGTAGTTCAGGTAGAAGGGGGACTGATGCGTCGTCGCTGACGTAGCGTTGTTGTACGCGAACTCGATCAGCGGCAGCTGCTGCTCCCAAGTCGTGGGGTCGTCGCACGTGGCACGAATCAACTGCTCCATCGTCTGATTCGTCCGCTCCGTTTGACCGTCGGTCTCGGGGTGGTACGACGAACTGAACTGTGGCCTGGTCCCGAACTGCTCCCAAAGGTTCTTCCAGAAGTTGCTGGTGAAATTCGTGTCCCTGTCGCTGATAATCGCTGCCAGTATCCCGTGCAGGCGAACAACGACTGCGATGAATATGCGAGCGGTCTCCTCGGCTGAGATCGACTTTATGCACGCAGCGAAGTGTGCCATCTTCGTCAACCTGTCAACGACGACCATCACCGCGTCGTTACCCCCAGGGTTCGAAGGTAACCCTGTGACGAAGTCCATGGTAACCTGCTGCCAGGCGCGCTCGGGCGGTGGTATCGGCTGCAATTGACCCGCCTTCCGCTTCTCCGAGCTCTACATCACCTGACACGTGGGGCACGAGCCCACGTGCTGCTGTACGCCGGTCAACAGCTCCGGCCAGTAGTAATACCGCTGCAGTTGCTGTCGCGTTTTTTCTACCCCAAAATGTCCCGAGGTAATTCCGTCGTGTGCCTCCTGCAGTAGCAGCTCCCTCAGCAGTGAGTACGCAGGTACCCAGATGCGGTTGGTGCCTGTTTTTACGTAATAAACTCCTTTAGCTTCTGCCAGTTGCTGTGAATTTCCGGTCGTGAAAAATGGGTCGGTGCGGTATCCTGTTGGTGCAACCCTACGGTTTGCACTCGGCTTGTTGTCCGTGTGCGTGAATGTGTGTGTGTATGGAATGGTATGAGGGCATGGGATAATATATATTTCATGCTTATAATTGTGTGTGAATGTTGAGTCATGATGTCGAGTGTGTGTGTCGAGTCAATAGCGAGTTATCGCTAGACGCGTGTTACGCGGTCGTTTGTGTCTCGCGCACGGTTTCTATTTTGTCGTGCGCGGTTTCTATTTTGTCCTGTGTCGAACGTTCGGCGTGTCGCAGGTGTGTGCAGCAGACCCATCAAGAACTCAAGGATGAGTTTGTGATGAAGAGCCCGAGCCTTGGTGTCAAGCCTCAAGTGATTTCGAAGCTTGCCAAAAGGGTACACCTCAAGATATTGAAGATAGTTACATTACTTTGTGTAGTGTAACATTTCACTTGGTGTAGGCCCTAGTGAAGGGTAGTTTCGAGACCCTTCGTGGTTGGGGACAGTGTGGCACTGTTCCACATCACTGTACCTCGGCTCTTGGGGTTTGTAGGAGCTGGGAGTCATTCCCAACTCGTAACTCTTCCTATCTTGTGTTCTAAGACTATAGTGGCTGCCATAGTACCGTTCGTTCAAACCGACGCTGTGTCGTCAATTCTTTATCAAATCGTGCAATCTAAATTGCTAATTGTAGACGACGTGAAGACGCTCCAGATCCAATTTGAATCAAGTCATTTGCAGCTGTGAGCAGAACGCTATCAACGTTTGAAGCCGCTGTGCAGAAATCCGTCTGTGCTCTCTATCTTTCGTTTTAGGCACATTCAAGCCTATTGTGAATATAACAAGTGGTATCAGAGGCCCTTGGAGCAGTTTCGACAATGTCTGGACCTGAGGAAAGGGGTGGCAGAGGTGCTGGTGGCAGTGGAGAAGCTCAAGCTCAAGGCCAACCCCGTGATTCAGCCATGGCGCCCATGCAACCAAGTGTTGGCCCACCTAGGGATGAGCCTAGGGTGTTTGGGCTTGACAAGTTCAACGGTGACAACTTTGCTGAATGGTCCTTCAAGATGGAGAACATCTTTGACCACTATGACCTGCTGGAGGTGATGGAAGGAACGGAGAAGCGCCCCGAGAACGACCCGGAGAAGAGCCCGTGGGTGCGGAAGAGCGCACAAGGCTATCTCTTACTTGGGCAAGCGTTGGGGAGCAGTCAGATCCGTCACATCAAGCCATTCCGGCGTGAACCAGAGAAAGGACCAAAGGCATGGGCTGCTCTCAAGGGTGTACATGCTCCTGCAACAGCGGCGGTAGCGGTGGTGTTGGAACGGCAAATGGCGGCACTACGAATTGAAGAAGACGAAGCGGTTGAAGAAGGGGTGCAGAAATTCTTCGACTTGTTGACGCGGCTTGAGGGAGCTGATTTGAACTACAGTGAGCTCCAAAAGAAGACCAAGTTGCTGGCCTTACTCCCAGAGTCATGGTCCTCGCTCATCATCAACCTTAATCGCGACTTGCCCCGCCTCTCGCTTGAAGACGTGAAGCGAGCTATCCTTCAAGAGGATTTCCGCCGCCGTGAGTTGGCGAGTGCGGATGGCGCTGGGGCAGCGAGCATCGGCCGTGGATATGGTCGAGGAAGAGGCAGAGGACGAG